TCAGACGAAAAAGAACGCCGATCTCAACGAACACACATGAGTCTTATGAACGACGTATTTTGAGTGTAAATTTGTTCCGAATTGGTAGCGATATCACTGCACTTTATCTTCCTACTTGTGGTATTTGTTTTAAACTGTTGACGAATAGTCGAAAAACACCGTTGTTGCTTCTGGTGCTGAGGGAGAGTAATTTTTACTTGCTTTTCCTAAATGACTTTTCCTGTGCCGGCGACGCACAGCAGGTCCAGCTTCCTTCAGATTTGAGGATAGAGGAAAAGCTTTAAGAAAGGAGCAGGATGTCTTCGGAGTTTTCCAGAATTTAACACGAACATTCTCCAGCACTCGCCGTATCCTATAAAATAGTGCTACCGATCAGAATCTTTGCAGTGGCCCAAAATGCACGAAACTAATTCATTTTCAAATTTTTTTTTCATGTGTTATCCTGCAATTTGTCATGTTGTTCAGTGTAATTTTCAAATAATATGAAACAGTCAATATCTTCTTTTACGCGCCTTCACTGACATTACTGACTCGACAATGCGGATAGCATGTTAATCACATATTTGACCTACGCGGAGACCGGCCGCTTATATTGGGTTTTCCACTTCACAGTTCCACTGAACCGAAAACCAAAGAGAAATGAGCTTGCAGCGCTCTGTCTGCCTCTGTGATACAACAGCGCAAATTCGAATACTCATTTATACAGCAAGAGACACAAGCAGCAACGGCAGCGCCAAAAAAATATCACGCATTGCACACGTCAGGTTCATTCAGCTTCCTGCTTTTGAGAAGCGAAGGTACCGGGCCACCACGAAGGCAAAAACACGTCTATTTCATCCTCTTCCGTTCTAAACTGTTTCTGAATAAAATCTGGTGAATAAGGCACCATAGCTAAGCCTTTCCTTCCATTACACGCAACTATTTTCCCTTCCCGTCGTCCTTCACTGCTTACCAGCTTGCCGCTAACTGCACCTGAAAAGCCAAAAGTACAGGAAGGTCAGGCAGTGAAATGCTATGTTTTTGAAAGCTCCCTTTAAAATGTTTC